TAAAAAAAAATAGAAACAACCTAAACTAATCAATGTTGTTGCTGTGCACCAACAAGTCAGAACCGACTCATAGCTGACCTTCCAGTGGGTTTTCAGAGGCAGTTAATCACACTGGAGGAGATTACCCATCCTTTTCTCCCAGAGAAGCTGGTGGATTCAAACTGTGACCCTTTGGGTTGACAGTACAACTTCTTACCACTAAGCTAACAGGGTTTCCTAACTCATCAATAAATGAGTTAATAATCTATGATATAAATACACAACAGAATACTACAAAACATTAAAGATTAACAATGATTTTGCAAAAAGGTTCCTAACATGGGTTTATCTGAAGGACATTATACTGAGTAAAACTGGTCAAATAACCAGAGGAAAATATTATATGAGACCACTGTTACTGAAAAGGTAATAAAAGGGTTTTATATGGAAATAAATACACTCTGGTTGTTAACAGGGGTGGTGTTGTGTGCCATCAAGTCAGAATCGACCCATAGATGACCCTTCAGTGGGTTTTCAGAGGCAGTATTGCATGGGAGGAGATTTCCCAACTTTTCCTTAAGAGAAGCTGGTGGATTTGAACCATGTGTCTTTGGATTTGCAACAAAGTTTCTTGACAGACACATATGAACTTGAGTAAAGGAAATGCAATATACTATAGGGTGAATCAGCATAAAGTGGTCAAAGCAAAGGAAAACAATGAGAGGAGCAAAAGAGTTTAAGGCAACAGAGATAAATAGTGTTCTCATAAAACTGCAAGGCCAGTATGGATGGGGTATCTATTGACATGTTTCAAATAATAGATATAGCCCTGAATGTGTTTATCAGATTGCACCAGGAAACATAAAAGACAGCTACCTGGCCAATTGACTGGAAGAAATCTATATTTGTTCCCATTCCTAGAAAGGTGATACATTGTGGGTATTATTGAGCAATATAATTAATAACAGGGAGCTCTGGTGGCCTAGTGGCAAAAAGCTGCGCTGCAATCCTGAAGGCATCTAATTCAAGGCTACCAGCTGCTCTGCAGGAGAAGGATGGGCAATCTCCTCCGTGCAATAAACTGCCTCTGAAAACCCACTGGAGGGTCAGCTATGGGTCAGTTCCGACTTGACAGTACACACAACAACAACATAATTAATAGCACATGTAAGCAAAATTTTGCAGAAGATCATAAAAAAATGAACAGAACGATACATAGATTGAGAACTGCCAGAAGGTCAGGCTGGGTTTAGAAGAGGCCATGACATCTCTTCTGATGTCAGATGGATCTTGACAGAAAGCAGAGAACACCACAAAAAGTCTATTTGTGTTTTATTGACTACAAAAAGGCATCTGACTGTGGATTAAACCAGGAAAAGCTATCACTAAAAAAAGAAAACAACAGAGCAGTATCTCTCATGAACAGCGTTGTTGTTAAGTGTCATCGAGTCAAGCATGACTCATATGGACCCTATGAACAAAAGACCTGAACCTATTCTATAACTATTGTCATGTCTCTAAGTTCATAGAGTTTCCGGAGGCACATTGTTTAGGAACTAACAACCAATAACTAACACTCCTACTTCCAAGTCTGTCTCAATCTGACAGCTCCATCAAACACTGCCCACCATGGGTAACCCTTATGGCATTTGACACACCAGGATATGTGTTCAGTAACACAGCAACCTCAAGGTACCTCAGTAGAGCGACTTGAAATACCAGTGCTGTCTCACTTAGAAGAATGTTCATACCAGACACAATTAACACCTGTGGCCCTCGGGCCAAACCCAACTTTTAATTACCCAGACCCATGCCCCAGGCCCTGATAGGCTCTAAGCAAGAGGCTCTCAGTCCACAGCTCATTGTTAGCCAAATCCAGTAATTTCAATCAGCTCATACCAGTTGTGAAAGAAATAAAAACAACAGAACAGTTCACACCTAACCTTCAATCAAAACAAGAAAAACTCATCTCTCACAATCTAAAAAGCTACACACATAAGCCTCCAAAGGAACATAGAAGCAAAAATTCTTAACAAAATCTTGGCCAATGGAACTCAACTGTATATAAAAAAATTAATTTCTCATGGCCTGGGATTCATAACAGATATGCAAGGATAGTTTAACATAAGAAAAGCAATTAATATGATCTATCACATTAAAAAAAACCCTACATGATCTTTTCAATTAATGCAGAAAGAGCAACATCCTTTACTGATCAAAAAACACAACAAAATAGGAACAGAAGGGAATTCTGTCAACACAGTTAAAAGTATATATGCAAAAGCAAGAGCTGACATTATTCTCAATGGATAAAGACTAAAAGTATTCCCCTTGGAAACAGGAACCAGACAAGGGTGCCCACTACCACAACTCCTAGTCAATATTGTATTTGATGTTCTATCTAGGTCAATAAGGCAAAAGAAGGAAACAAGTGACATTTGAATTTGCAAAGAGGTGGTAAACTGTCACTATATGCAGACAATATGATAGTGTACACAGAAAACCCCAAAGATTTAACAACAACAACAAAAATCTGCTAGATCTAATAGACCGATTTAGTAGAGTAGGAGGATATTAGATCAACAAACAAGAATCAGTGGGATTTCTATACAGTAACAATGAAAGCATGCACAATGAAAGGCAGTACCATTTAAAATAGCCAACCACAAATTAAATGCCTGGAAATAAACATAACTAGAAACACAAAAGGCCTTTATAAAGAAAACTCCAAAACACTACTATAAGAAACAAAAAGACACCTAACTAAATGGGAAAAAATATTCCCTGTTCCTGGATGGGAAGAAGACTCAACATAGTGAAAATAACAATTCCACCAAAAGCAATTTACACGTTCAGTGCAATCCTAATACAGATATCAAACTCATTCTTCAAAGGATAGAAAAGGCAATTAGCAGGTTTATTTGAAAAGGAAAGAGATCATGAATAAGCAAAGCTCTTCTGAAAAATAAATATGAAGTGAAAAGTATACCACTCCATGATCTCAAATCTTATTATTCATAGCCGTAGTAACCAAACCAAGACGTTATTGTTACAATGATAGACACACACACCAAAAAAAAAAAAACCAACAAAGCCCATTAATGACAAAGAACCAGCAACCTCTTCAACAAAGGTACTGTCAAAACTGGACTTCCACCTGCAGAAAACTGAAAAAGGATTCCCATCTCGCATCATACACAAAAATCAACTCAAGGTGGATCAGAGACGTAGAGATAAAACACAAACCCATAAAGATCATGAGACAAAACTTAGAAAACCTAGCCTCTGGTATAAAGAGGATAGCAGAAATGCACAAACAGGAGAGGATGAAATTGACAAAAGAGATCTTTTAAAAATGGAGTCTCTCTGTATAAAACCCTTTTCTAAGAGGGTGAAAGGAAAGCCTACAGACTGGGAAAAAACCTCAAAAAAGCAAAAAAACCAACCCAAAACATCTAGTAATGATATTTCAGACAAAGGTTTCACAACCAAAGTTTACAGAATACTATAGGACCTCCACACACCAAAAAAGACTGATAATCCAATGACAAAATGGACAAAAGACAGGAAAATGTTTTTCACAAAGGAAGATATTTGGATGGCCAACAGAAGAAATGTTCAAAATTGCTGGTAATCCGAGAGATGCAAATCAAAACAACAATGAGAATATCTTCTTACCCCAGTAGTGGTTAGGAAGGTTTAATAAGATAGCAAACAATAAATGTTGGAAAGGATGTGGAGAGATTGGAACTCTCAGATGCTGTTGAGAGGATTGTACAACCACTCTAGAAGGCAGTTGGATTATTTCTTTAAAAGCTGAGCATAAAAATTCTGTATGACCCAGGTATTCCATTGCTAGGAATATGCCGTGAGGAAAATAGAACTGAGACACGTATGGAGATCTGTACACCAATGTTCATGGCAGCTTTATTCACAAGAGAAAGAAAATGGAAACAGCCCAAATGTCCATTAAGAACCTAATGGATTGAGAAATTGTTGTACATACACATGATGGACTACTCTGCAGCATTCACAAGCAACAATTAAAAAAAGTACACTATAACATGAGAGATTCTGTAGAGCATTATGCTGAGTAAACTAACTCAGTCTCATAAGAACAAATACTGCCTAAGACCATTATTGTAGAAATAGAAGGATAACTAGTAAGATGTGGATAATAGTCCAATCCAAAGTGGGAAGTGGAAGGAGCAAGAAGGCTGAGAATGGGGAGGGGAAAACACAGAGTCACAGAGTTTGGTGGGCAGAGGGAGTGAGTGAAGGAATTAGGAAAGATCCAACGGGGATCTGCAAAGAGAGGGTGTAGAGGGAATAGATGCTTAATTTTATAAAACATAATGAATGGGAATGATAGTATGAAACACAATGTGAATGAAAGAATGAATATATGTATATGAATTTTGTATACAGACTAATATAAAATTTTAAAAAAGAAAAGCATGGAATAATCTCAGAGAAGGTCATGGAAATAAAATCAGGAATGAAGAGCACCTAGAAAAAAATTATCCATGGACAAATATAAATAAATATTAACCATACAAGACAATGTCATTGGTGTCTCATAGAATTTAAAATATATTCTGTATTAAAATGCAAGACAAAAATTAATGCAATATGAGAGTATCTGTGGTTAAAGTGTTCCAAGGTTCTAGGCATTATTAAGAAAATGATAATACATTTGGTATTAAGTGCAGTAAAACAAATTGATATTGTAATGATGATATAATAAAAAAGTTAGAAAGCATTGTTTGACATAAAGAAAGGAATTTCATAATGACAAAGGGGACAATTAATGAGGTTTATATAATAATCTCCTATTTATATACCTAGTAACATTATCACAAAATATTTGAGGCAAAAATTAATAACCTAAAAGGAGAAATAACAAAACTGCTCTATTATAGAGGAACAAAACAAAACTCTCATTTAACTGATGGAAAAATGAAACAAAAAGTCAATAAGTATATGAAAGACACATATAGAATCTAATGTGAATGACTTACGGTTTAGCAGTTGGGTCTTGCAGGGCTCTTTTTTTCTTGCTAGGACTCAAAATTGTAGTATGAAAACCCTGAATAGTCCCAGGTTCAATCTCATCATGATGCCGTTTACCATTTCTTTGCTGACTTTGACTTTCTCCTCTTGCTGCTTGGGAAGTTGAGGGGAAATTAGCATTCTAAAATAAAAAATTTAGATAAAATATTTAAAATTAAATCTTAAAAATGATTGCTCTTTTCAAAGACTATAATTTTAAATTTCGCATTTTTCATAATGGTGAAAGCTTGAGAGCTCTGAGGAGAATTTACATTCATAACAATGCTTTTACGAAGAGGATTTATCTGAATCCATCTGGCTCATAAATAGTTTAAAAAGGTAAAGTTTTCTCACTTGTATAATGGAAAAGTTAAATTAGATTATTATAACCATATGAACAACTGATTAATAACAGTTCTAAAACAGTTTTTATAAAGATAAGCTCATGGGATGTATTAACCATTTATCTTGATAATATAGAGATTCCAGACCTAGTCTCTTATTAGATCGTTTAACCTACAAGAGTCTCTGAGGAAAACTAGAGAACTAAATGAGGCTACTATGCCAGATACAGAGAGGCAAAACTTCCCTCTTGTAATTCTGGCTAAGACTGTCAGAGACCTCTCCAAAGTACTGCAGAGCAACACTGTCATTCTGGAGACTAAGGTGTGTCTGATAAATGCCATAGTCTTTGTAATTACTTAGTATGTTTCAGAAAGCTGGACAATGACTAGGGATGATAGAAGGAGAACTGATGCCGTTGAGCTGTGATACTGGAGAAGAGTATTGAATATACCATGGACTGCTAAGAGAACAAATAGGTTCATCCCAGAGAGGATGAAACCAGGCTACTTCTTGGAGGCAAGGACTCTGAGGCTTCGTCTGACATACTTTGTACATGTTGCAAGGAGAGACCAGTCCTTGGAGAGGAACATCATACTTGAGAGGGTGGTTGGATAGTGCAGGAGAGGAAGACCCTCGATAAGATGGATTTATTCAGTGGCTGGGGCAATGGGGGTAGGTGTGTAAGAGAGAGGCACAGGATAGAGCAGGGTTTAGGGCTGTTGTACATAGGGTCGTTATGAGTCGTAGGCCACTTGATGGCACATAACAACAACAACAATAACATGAGAATTTATATAGACAATCATATGGAGATAGCAAAAATAAGACACCAAGTGAAAAAATAATTCCCAATATTGAGAAATTTGGGGAATATCCGTGACCTAGCCTATAACGTTCAGCATTGCCTGTGTAAAATAAATGACAGAAAGATAAAACAAAACCAAATATGGACTTTTTCTTGTACTGTTAGGTTTAAAACATTTAGAGTCAATATGTGTGCATTTTTAATCACGTGTACAAAGTAACAGGTGTAATTATTACAATGCTTTTAGAGATATACTATTTATTCTCTGGCACCATACCCGAAGTGTTTCTGATCCTGAAGCACTTTCAGTTGCACCAGTATGGGGGATATACTTTATAACAGTAATTATCCCCTGAATTGCAATACGTTTTTGTTCCCTATACTGCAAGTCTTCAATCTCCTTCCTCACTTCACATATTGCTGTCAAGAGTGAATCAACTGCAAAAGAATAATCCCAAGGAAATTGTAAGGTTAAAGAACTGAAATTAGAAAAATAAGAATTAGATTTGCAATGCAATTTCACAACATAAAATTGAAAAGTTGCTATATTAAACTATATTCACAAGACTTTATGCTTATATATGGCATGTTCTTATGTAGTTTTTTTTAAAAATAAACAAAATGCTTTTATTAAACTTCCAGTCTCAAGTCTTCACTTGCAACATCAAATTTACATATTATACCTAATTTTCATATAATATTTCAAAATATAAAGTGTTGCCAAGACACTGCACAAATCTTGGTTATTTACAACCATACTTTATATTGCTAGTTTTACGAAGTACAAGAGGATGCCAATATTTAGATGACAGTAAGTCAGCATTCCAGTTTCCTTTAAAAAAACCCCCAAACATAGGGTTTTTTTTTAAAAAAAAACCACCATAGTTATGTTAAAGTTTCCAGCTATCACAAATCAATTATCCCAAAGAGTTAATGAATGTTAGGACTCCCATGAGTACTTCAATTCGAATTTGGTATCTCATTTACTTGGGTGTTAGTTTTATTTAAGGGTAACAATTAATTGTGCTTATATTAAATATTGTTACATATATATCATTCCACAAGAATAGCATGATAAAATTGTCAGTATCTGAATATAAACATTTAGTCTCTCTCTATAACTTCATAGGAATTGATATCTATCTACATTAGCTCTAATCTCAATGGCCTTAAAGATATTATCTCCTGTTAGTAATTTTCCACATTTTCTCTTTTCTTCAATCTAATTAAAAAGAAAAATATTTACCTTTAGGAGTCATGGCATGTTATTTTTAGGTGTGAATAGAAGACAGAAGGATTATGAGTGTTAGTGTTGCATCTTACTCAAATAAAAGAATAAAATTGACTGCCTACAATGACATATGACATACACAAAACTTATGAACAAAATGTGCAACCCTGCTGTGGAGGGAGGGGAGCAAGGAAAGGGAAAGGATCCAGGCAAAAAGACAGGGAAATGATGCACAAGGTTCAATGGTAATTGATTTTATGAAACAAGATGCATGAGAATGATTGCATGAAATGTATGAATGAAGAACAGTGTGAAATGCAATATATACTGAACTTTATAAGCAAACCAATTTTTTTTAAAAAAAAAACCACACCAAAACCCCCTTAGGAACATATGAAAAAGAATGGCTAGTACCTTTAACAGAACTACTATACTTCGTAAATGTCTCTGGTACTGGTGGATAGGGGTAGTATCCACCAAAAACAGTCTTCATTTCTCCAGAATCAGTCTTTGTTTTAATCCACTGAATAACGTTTTTTACCTTGGTATCGTAGGTATAAGGTTGGCCTTTGTGACCTCCTTGCAAAAATTGGCAAAGCATAAAAATGAAAAAGAGAACAGTCCCTATAATAAATTGCACAAACTTTTAAAACACAAAACAATTTATTATCAAATTAGTCTCTGTATATAACCAAGAAAGTCAAGTTCACCTGATTACTATGTAACACACCTGATTACTATGCAACAGATAATTAGTACTTTTAATACGCCTACAGAAGTTGACAAAATATACTTAACACGCATAAAAAATTTACCCAGCTGCAGTAAGTAAATCCTAAATCAGGAAGGAAATTAGATGTAAGAAGTAAGAAGCTGCACTGCTATATACCAAAGGCATGCTGTTCGAATCCACCAGCTGCTCTATGAGAGAAGGATGGGCAGTCTCCTTTTATGTGATTTGCTGCCTCTGAAAACCCACTGGAGTGTGAGCAATGAGTCAGCTCTGACTTGAAGGCACATAATAGCAACAACAACAGAGTTTAAATAATCTGTAGATGATTACAATATTTTGAAAAATCGTAAGGAAAAGAAAAGCAAATAACCTAGATTGTTCTAACTATTCAAATGTTAGGGAAAATCTGAAAAAAAAATTTAAAATATATGGCACCATTTAGAAACTTCCTTTAAATATATAAGCCAGTATTTAAATTTATAATATTAATGTATACATAAAATGCCATATTTATGTCTTATAATATCAAACTGATACTATTGCTAAAACAAAGACTTCTCAAAGATGTGTATTACTCCTTTCCTTGGCATCTTCTTTTGGAAAACTGCCTAATTATCAACATGGTAGCATTCTAGCAAATACTCTACTTGACACTATATTCTCTCATTGTCTCATTTAGCAAAGTTGGATTTTTTTTTACTCTGTCATCAGAAGGAATAGAGGAAACGAATAAACATGTAGGCAAATAATGAGGCTCTATTGTTATATAAGTAAAATGAGATGCTGGGGCTATGACACACTTTTATTTGATTTAGTAGTTTAAATATTATTAACTGAATAATTAACCAGAAGTTACAGGGCCTAATAGTCTTAAATTTATCAAGCAATTAATAATCATCTATATTATACATCAAAAATGGGTTAAAGTTACCCAAAGGGCATAAACACGATTCTCCAGTAAGTCATGAAATCATTGTTTTAATCATAAATAATCCAGAACAGTCTTTCTATAGACTAAATAAATGAGAAAAAAAAATCCCACCAAAACCAAAAATTAAACCAAAACAACTCTTCACTCTTGTCAAGCTGGAATCTGCTCACACATGACCTTCCAACCAGGCTTCTGAGACCACTGGAGGAAATTATTATCTTTCTTCTTCTTCTGAGCTCCTAGTGGATTTGAACCCATCTAGAGAAATGTGGCCTTTGGATTAGCAGTATAGCACCCTATAGACTACATCAGGAGAGCTACCTTAAGTAATCAAAAAGCCAGTGCCATTAAGTCAATTCTGAGTCATAGTGATCTTCCTTTGGGTTTCCAAGGCTTTAAATCTTTAAGGAAAGAGACTGTCCATCTTTATCATGAAGAGCAGCTGGTAGATTTGTAGCACTGACCTTTCAGTTAACAGATCAATAAATTATGTGAAATACCCTCAGGTCATTTTTATAGTAATAACCTCTTACTAAAAAAAAAACCCCACAAAACCCCAAAAAATCAAAACCCAGCCATCCAATCCCACTGCTTTTTAATCCCTCCCAACTCAACACAACTTTCCATGGAGTTTCCAAGGCTATAAACTTTATGAAAGGAGACAGTCCATCTTTCTCTTTAGGAGCAGCTCGTGGATTTCAACAATTAACAGGGCAACACGTAAGGCATCCCACCTCCAGAGCTCCTAAGTGCAATAAAGGGGTGTGTGTATGTGTGTCAAATTAAAGGTATTTTGTGGTTGGATAATGTAATGTAAAAGTTAATGTGTTTTGTGTTACGGAGTTCTAGTGAAGAAAAAGATATTTCTAATAAAGTGTACATAAAAAACTTACTCACCAATAATAAACATTCGACTCTCATCTGTGGTAGTGAGGTAAAGCAGTTTAGGTACTTGATTATTATTTCTCACAACTTTCAACTGTGTACACACAAAATATGTCACTGTAGGGGGAAAAACATTTATGAACTAAATCTCGCATTTCAAAGAGGACATGCAAAGATCAATACCTGGCACAATACTTCTCAAACTTAAAAGATCATATGGAAATGAATATTTTCCAGTTTCAGATCTCCTGAGGTTATGGTTGAAATGCAAATTTTAATTAGTAGGTATAGGGTAAAGCCTGAGATTGTATATTTCTAATAAACTCACAAGTAATACTGGTGATAATCATAAACTCATAGATTTCTCTGATCCACTTTGAGTTGCAAGGATCTAACATTTATTACTATGAGTTGCAATACTGAGAGATACAATGGGCAAAATCTTGAATGATCCAGGAAACATCAAAAGAAGATGGAAAGAATACAAAGAGTTGTTGTACCAGAAAGAATAGATGACAATGAAAAATTTTAAGAAGTACCATTTGAACAGGAGCCAAAGGTAATGAAAGAAGAAATTGAACACGCACTGAAGACACTGAAAAAAAAAAAAAAGGGCTCTAGGAATTGATGCAGCCCTGGACAAGCTCACCAATCTGTGCCAGGAAATTTGGAAGATAGCTATCTGGCCAAATGACTGGAAGATATCCTTATTTGTTCCCATTCTCAAGAAACAATGTGGAAGTTACATAACAATATTATTAATATCACATACAAGAAGAACATTGTTGTAGATCATCCAAAAGAGGCTAGAACATAGACAGAGAATTGCCAGAGTTACAAGCGAGGTTTATCACTACTGATGTCACGTGGATGGTTTCTGGCTGAAAGCAAAGAATACAAGAAGAATGTGTTTTATTGACTATGCAAAGGCATTTGGCTGTGTGGTTCATAACAAACTATGGCTAACATTAAGAAGAATAAGAATCTCTGAACACTTACTTGTGCTCATAAGAAAGTTAAATCTAGACCAAGTAGTTGTTGTCTAAACAAAGTAAGGGAACACTGAATGGTTGAAAATGAGGAAAGGTGTACATAAGGGTTGTATCCTCTCTCTATACCTATTAAATCTGTATGCTGAGCAAATCATTTGAGAAGCTGGACAATATGAAGAAGAATGTGACATCGATTGGAGGAAGACTCATCAACAACCTGTGTTAAGCAGATGGCACAACCTTGCTTGCTGAAAGTGAGGAGAACTTGAAACACTTGCTGAAGAAGATCAAAGACTACAGTCTTCAATATTAATTGCATCTCAAAATCAAGAAGACAAAATCTTCACCACTGGACCGAAAAGCTCTATCATGATTGTTGTTATTATTATGTGCTATTGAGTCAACTATGACTCAAAAGGACCCTAAGAACAACAACTCTGAACCTTGCTATATCCTGTGTCAACTTTACTGTCTCTGAAACACCTGTCCCCACTGTTCAAGTCACTGTGTCAATCTATTTCATCCACAGTCTTCCCCTTCTGTGCTGATCTTCTACCCTTCCAAACATAATATACTTCTCCAAGGACTGGTCTTTCCTGGCAAAATGCCTAAAGTATGTGAGATGGAGCTTCGAAATCCTTGCCTCCAAGGAAAATCTGGTTTCATCCTCTACAGGACAGACCTGTTTGTTCTCTCGGCATGTTCAGTATTCTTCTCCAGAACCACAATTCAAAGGCATTGCTTCTTCTTATGTTACCCTTAGTCAATATCTAGCTCTCAGATGCATAGCAAACAATAGAGAAGATTATGGCCTGGATCAGATGCACCTTAGTCTCTAGACTGACATTGTTACTCTTTAGCCATCTGGAAAGTTCCATGACAACAGACTTTCCTAAAGCAACTCGTCTTTTGATTTCCTGACAGCTGGTGTCAAGGGTGTTGATTGTGGATCCAAGAAAGACAAAATTATTAACAAACTCGATCTTTTCTCCATCTACCATGATGCTGTCAATTTGGACCAGTGGTGAGAATCTTTGTTTTCTTGATGTCATGCTGCAATTCTTATTGAAGACTGCAGTTCTTGATCTTCTGCAGCACATGCTTCAAGTCTTCCTCAGTTTTAGCAAACAAGGTTTCACCATCTACAGAGTGCAGGTAGTTGATGAGTCTTCCTCCAATCCTAATGGCACAGTTTTCTTTATAAAGTCCAGTCTCCTGAATTGAAAACTTATAGTGAAAGAATAAATCCCTGATGCACTCCTTTCCTGATTTTGAACAATGCAGTGTTTCTCTGCTCTTTACTGAGGACTGCTTCCTCGCCCAAGTATAGGTTCCGCATGAGCACAATCAAGTGTTCTGGGATTCCCATTTTCTTCAAAGTTAGCCACAATTTGTTGTGATCCACACAGTCAAGTGCCTTTGCATAATCAATGAAACACAGATAGATATTCCTCTTGTACTCTCTGCTTTCAGCCAAGATCCATCAGACCTTGGTAATGATACCCTTAGTGCCAGGTCCTATTCTAAACACAGTTTGTATTTTTGGCAGTTCGCTGTTGATGTATTGTATTCATCGTTCTGGGATAATCTTCAGCAAGATTTGCTTGCATGTGATATTAGTGATATTGTTCAATAATTTCCATCCTCTGTTGGATCACCTTTTTTTTTTAAAAAAAAATGGGGATAAATATAGATCTCTTCCAGTTAGTTGGTCACGTAGCTGTCCTCCAGATTTCTTGCCATAACCTAGTATCAATCCATCTCATCTGGGGTCTTCCTCTCCTGCGCTGCCCCGCCACCCTTCTAAGCATGATGTCCTTCTCCAAGGATTGGTCTCTCCTGGCCACATGCCTAAAGTATGCAAGACAAGAGCTTCAAAATCCCAGCCTCCAAGGAGAAACCTGGTTTTACTTTCTCTAAGACCTATTTGCTTTCTTAGTGCTCCATGGTAATTCAAAGGTATCAATTCTTCTTCTGTCATCCTTAGTTATTGTCCAACACTTTGATGCATAGCAAGCAATTGTGAAGACCATGGCCTGGATTAGGCACACCTTAGTCTCTAGAATGACATTATTGCATTGCAGTACTCTGGAGAGGTCCCTGACAGAAGATTTTCCCAATGCTGGTACCAAGAGTGTTGATTGTGGAGCCAAGCAGGCTGTAATTGTTAACCTGAATCTCTTCTCCATCCATCATAGTTCTGCCAATTGGCCCAGTGGTGAGAATCTTTGTTTTCTTAATGTTGAACATCAACCCATATTGAAGACTATAGTTCCTGACCTTCTGAAGCAAGTGCTTCAGTTCCTCCACTTAGTATTTCATTAATTCTTGGCTTTTGTTTCTTGCCAGTTCCTTCAGAACAGCTTGAACTGCCTTCTTTATTACCTTTGGTTCTTGATCATATGCTACTTCATGAAATTGTTTTGAGTTGGCCAATTATTTTTGGTTCAGTGACTGTGTGTATTTCTTCCATCTTCTTTTGATGCTTTCTAGATCATTCAATATTCTTTACATAGCATCTTTAACTATTGCAACTTGAGGCTTCGATATGTTCTTCAGTTACTTCAGCTTGAGAAATGGTGACCGAGTTTGCCCCTTTTAATTTTCTGCATCCAGCTATTTGCACATTTCATTATACTTTGCTTTGTTTTTGTGTGCTTCCCTTTGAAACATTCACTTTAAACTCTTTAATTTATTATCATGGTTGCTGTGTACTGCCGAGTTGGAATCTACAAATAGCTGACCCTCTAGTGAATTTTCAGAGGCAGTTAATTGCATAAGAGGTGATTGTCCATCCTTCTCCCGTGGAACAGCTCATGTATTAAAACTGTGTGCCTTCTGGATTGCAACACAGCTTCTTGCCACTAAGGCCCCAGATAGTAGATGGAGAAAAGACTGAAATTGTCAATAATTTTATCTTACTTATATCTACAATCAACAACCTTGGTATCAGCAGTCAAAAGATCAGGAGACATATTGTATTAGACAAGTCTGTTGTCAGGGACCCCTCCAAAATAATAAGAAATGATGTTAGTTTGAAGGTTGAGGTGTGTTTGATTCAGGCCATGGTATTTTTAACCCCCTGCTATGCCTCTGAGAGCTGGACAATGAATGAGGATGACAGAAAAATAACTGATGCCTTTCAATTGCAGTGTTAGAGAAGAATACTGAATATCCTGTGGACTGCCAGAAGAACAAACAGATATGTCTTGGGAAAAGTGCAACCAGATTGCTCCTTGAAAGAGGATGGCAAAGCTTTGTCTCACATACTTTGGGCATAGAGGCTTTTCCTGGGAAAGGGGTGTCATGCTTAGAAGGGTGGAGGGTCAGTAAAGAGGGGAAGACCAACAATGAGATAGATTGACACAGTGGTTGCTGCAATGGGTTCAAGTGTGTCAGAGATTATGAGAAAGGCACAGGATAGGACAGGGGTCAGATCTGTTGTTCATGGGGTAGCTATGAACTCAACTTGATGGCACCCAACAACAACAGCAACATTTATTAGCCTACTTTCTACAAGATATGTTCCTTTAAGAAAATAAAACTGCATTTAACTGAAGTCATTTGCTTATTGCACAGTTGAAGAGTACAAGAACCATTTTAACCGGACACACAACCAAATACCAATAATTGTTTCTACCAAGATAATATTTAGTTTCTCCAAAATGCTTTCACTGATTAGCACAATCTAACACTGATCCCTAAGTTACACAGATTCCTTCCAGTAGAAAAGATCTATTCACTAACAAATTGTAATTGTTTATGCAATTATTCTGTCTCTCATGTATATCTTAATTAAACTTTATCCCACACTAGCAGGGTTTATGCGACCTGTTAATTTTCTTCTCACTTTACAAAATACCTTAATTGACTAAAAATAAAATAACTGAAAATGAGATAACGTCTCCATATTCTAACCATTTTTAAAAGCTATGAATGGGGTTTTATTTTGCTATAATCATGTTGCTTAGGTTAATTACTCCAACATTATTTTTTATTTTAACTCATCACATGCAAAAGCAGTTACGGTATTACAAATCAGGAAGAGAAATATTTAAAATACAAATACTTGAAGGAACACAATACTTATTTAAGAACAAAAATTTCCTTACAGCAAGATAAGTA